CGGCCATAGCCCCCTATTGGCCCAATACATTCTGCGTGAATTGTCGACGTCGCGGCGAGCCAAGAACTCAGGAACTCCGAAGACCCAACCACGGTCCGCGGTGACCTGCGCCACGTGGCGGGGCCGGATGGCCCAGCTTTTCGGGACCGCCTCCACCACGAAGGGACTTCCCCGTAACTCGTTGCCCACAATGTCCTGGTCCCTTTTGACGTGAGTCCCCGCCCTCGCGCGCCCCCTTTTCGCCCAATTGCATTCATATCCTTAAGACTCCCCCACTTTTCCCAAAAATCCTTGGCACACCCCTTTTCGCAGTTCCAGGCCCACAATCCACTCCGATCAGGAAGTCGCTCTGGGCGTGAGGTTGGGCGTCACAAGGGATCGATGTGGGTGGGGGAGTGAGAAGGAGGTAAGACGAGATGGACGGGAGAATGTGGGGATGATAGCTTCGATGAGGTTGATGTGGTGGACTTACGTCGTGGAATATTTGGGCGATCGCCAGTTCTGCAAAGTAAAGTGGTTATGGTGTGTGAGAGTGGGGGAGTGAGAAGGAGGTAAGCCGAGATGGACAAGAGAATGTGGGGATGATAGCTTCGATGAGGTTGATGTGGTGGACTTGTGTCGTGGAACATTTGGGCGATCGCCAGTTCTGCAAAGTAAAGTGTTTATGGTGTGTGAGAGTGGACTGTGAAAGGACTGACTTACCATCGAGGAAAGGACGCATAAGATTGACTGACCAATAAGGGTTGACGGGCTTGTGTGATGACAACCGGCAGTACCCACAGACTGTGAGTAGACACCGCTTCGCCCAAAGGAGGTGAGGAGAACGACGCAGCCTCTGCGTGACCTGCCACTTGTCTCCCGTGTGCACAAATTTCTGTATGCAATGAGCGCCGCGAGCGGACGAGTCCTGGAGGGCGCTGAACGGGAAACTTCGCAAGTTGTCGTGACTGGGCAGACTCCCGTGACTTGTACGGTCATTGGGCAGACTCCCGTGACTTGTACGGTCATTGGGCAGTCTCCCGTGACTTGTACGGTCATTGGACAGAGCAGTGGGACTGCTCGAAGTGGCAAGACAGTGCTCCAACCAGGGTGAGTGTCACCTCATAAGCCATCACCCCGTTGATGTTGTTGAAGAAAGTAGTCGCATCGTAGATGAATGCAGTATGTGGTGAAGAAGGAATTTCAAAATTTGTGCAAGTGTAGATGCAATAATCTAACGGTGCTGATAAAACCTCGAAGAAATGCGAACTGCCCCTTGAGGGACCGACCTTACTGTCCCAGTAGTGCCGGGACCCTGATGCGTTGGTAACCGCTGAGGCAACTGACGAGGTTGGTTTCAACGCCCAACTGAAGGAGTCGTTGGAGTAAGACACAATGCTACAGAGGGCCGGTCAGTTCCACAATGTCTCAAGGCTATAGCCTACCGGTAGTGAGGGAAAAAAAAGAGAGAAGTTTTTGCGTCACGGTAGGCGGGACGATCTCCATTGCACGCGGATGGACTGATGCATGCACGCGCTCAACTCGCAATACGCGGCCGGGGGAGACCTGCGGGAATCGAACCTGGGACCTGGGCAGAGGGAAAAAAACATAAATAACGACTTTTGTACCCGGCGGGGTCCCTTTTTTTTTTACGTTTTCCTTTTAGGTATATATCGTCACAAATAGAACTGCCCGGTAAACCGTAGGCAGAGAGAGAGAAGATATATGTCAAAATGCCCTTAAAAGATGTGGGTAGTGCGGAATGCCCCTCTGGCAAAAGAAATGTTTTGTGAAATACCCCTGACGTCGGTTGGACCCCACCTTTGCAATATACCCCTACTGAGGACCGTTCAGATTTGAAAAATGCCCGGGTACTTGCCAACTTCTCCTAGGCATAATTGCAAAAGGTCAAGGCCCAAAGGGGGAGGTCCAAATTGCAAAGTTGCACACCCGCCTTATAGGGTCACAACACAAAGATTCGGCCCAAAGGGCATTCCGCTCTACCCACATCTTTCAGGGCATTTTTTTTTTCGCATTTTTCTCAACTTATGAGGATATTTTGCAAATTTTTATTTACCCCTTCCTTTTATCGATTTCGATTTTCTTCGGATTTCCGAAATTCGAACGACGCCCCAAGCTGAGCCTACGTGTAGCTCAGCGGGTATTACCCCTGTTGCAAATTTTTTTTTTTTTTTTAATTTCCTTTTTTTTATTCGATTTATGCGTGTCATCCTTGCGCAGGGCCATGCTAATCTGCTCTGTATCGTTCCAATTTTAACGGATGTCCCGAAGGACCTGTTGCAAATTTTTATTTACCCCTTCCTTTTTTTTTCCAACAATCGCAACTGTTGAAATACAGCCCCGCGTTCGAATCCGGATGATGGAACTTGATGAGTACGAAAAAAGAGAAATTTCGAAAGAGGGAAGAAACCCTGCGGGTCGCTATTGCCCCACTCGACAGAGATTCTCCCTGCGCGTCTTAGCTGTATCTCCATTCCATCAGTCGTTTGCCGTCGCCAATACCGACGTCAGCGGCATTGAGGAAGGAGGAGGAGGAGGAGGAGGAAGCTTGCTTGGACACGTCTCACCGACATCGCCGGGTGGAATTTGATTGGATTGCGGCAGGCAGGTTCTCTCCTCCGCCCCTCCCTTTTTCCGCCTAACTCTTCCCCCCCCTTCCTCTGTTCTTCTCTCAGCCATCGTAGCGCAGCTTTTGCGACGATTACCGGAGTTTTGGCGGGAAGAGTTGCCGCTCTTTTTTTTTTCCCGCTCTTCTGCTGTGTCTGAAAAGGCATCGCCCGCCGCTTCTGCCCTTTCCGGGTGAGATGGTTGGGATGGCTTTGAGCTGAAAGGGGGGCTCCTTCCGTCCGTCCTTCCTTCCTTCCTTCGGCCTTGCTGCCTCTAGCGCGCAACCCTAAAGCAGATCTCCTCGTCGTTTCTCCTCCTTTTTCCTCTTTCCCCTCTTTCTCATCTTCCCGTTCTCATCCTCCTTCCCGCCCTTTCGTTCCGGCGTAAGGGGAAATTCTCCTTATCCACATAATCCTCCTTCCCGCCCTTTCGTTCCCGCGTAAGGGGAAATTCTGCTTATCCACGTACACTCTAATTGAATTTTTCTTAAGTAATATGATCTCCTCGTTCTCCTCTTTCTCTTTCTTCTTTCTCCTCTTTCTCCTCATTCCCCTCATTCTCCTCGTTTCTCCTCTTTCTCCTCTTTCTCCTCTTCCCTCTTCCCTCTTCCTAATCCTCCTTCCCGCCCCTTGTTCCCGCGTAAGGGGAAATTCTCCTTATCCACGTACGCTCAAATTGAATTTTTCTTAAGTAATATGATCTCCTCTTTCTCTCTTCTTTCTCTCTCTTCTTTTTCCTCTTTCTCCTCATTCCCCTCATTCTCCTCTTTCTCCTCTTTCTCCTCCGCCTCTTCCCTCTTCCACTTTTAATTCTCCTTCCTGCCCCTTCGTTCCGTCGCAAGGGCAAACCTTTTTTTTTTCTTCTCCTCTTTCTCCTCTTTCTCCTTCCGCCTGTTCTCCTTTCCCCTTTTAATCCTCTCCTTCCTCGCGAGGGCAAAATTTCATTATCCACGTGCGCTCTAATCGAATTTTAATGAAGTTTTTTTTATCTCCGCCCGTTTTAACGACTGCGAGAGCGCCGCGAGCCCTCGTTGGACGGCTATGGCGGCAGCGCGCTTTTACTTCTGCCCCCGCCTGCTTACTATTGTGTGCCTTCCACCCCCTTTTTCATTGAATCGCCCGACGAGCTACGTGTCAATCTCGTGTTCGGTCATTGTCTCCTCTGTGTCATCCCACACTGTCGCCTGCGCGTGCATACAAACACCAAGGGGAGTGTATGTATGACCCTCGCTCCACTGCCCACCCAATCTGCATACAAACACCAAGGGGAGTGTATGTATGGCCCTCGCACCACACTGGCGCCCATCCCATCCCACACATGTGCGCTGCTGGCCTTGAAAAGTGGAGGGGGTCAGGAAATTTCCCTCTGCATGTGTGTACGTATACGCTCCTGCTGCTGGTGTGGGGTGGACTTGACAGCATCGCGAACACCAAGGGGGGGAGTGTATGTACGGCCCTCGCTCCACTGCTCAGCAAATCTGGCAAAGGGGAATGAAACTTCCACTAGAACATGGGAAAATGCGCTGCCGTATTTTGTCTTTTGTGCATGTTGTGAGTAGTGGAGCGAGGCCCTTTTTTTTTTTTTTTTTTTTTTTTTTTTTTTTTTGGGCCCTATGACTATGTATATGTAAGTTTACACTGGAAGGAGGAGACAAATGTGGAAGCGGATTGGGAGACGAGATCGTGATGATTCTGACGTGTGTGAGGATGATGATGATGATGATGATGATGAGAATGATCGAGATGATGACAGGCTATGGGACGATGATGATGTTGTTGTGCTGGTGAAGTGGGGATGATGAGTGTGCTGGTGGTCAGGAGTAAGAGGAGGGAGGAAGACGCGGAGCAGGAGGAAGGAGAGGAGGAGGAGGAGGAGGAGGAGGAGAGAGTTGAGCAAAGGAGAATCAAGTTGCTTTGGAGGTAGATGCCGGCGATGGAACGAGGGAAGAGGACGCGGGGCAGGTGGAGGAGGAGGAGGAGGAGGAGTTGAACGAAGGAGAAGAGTATTGCTTCGAAGGTAGGTGCCAGCTATGGCGATGACGATGTCGATGGCGCTGAGAGTTATTCTCAACCTGTCATCCCCTCGCGTTGCTCCCCCGTTCGGTCTTTCTCCTTTCCTTCGGGGCTTTGGTACCCCGACCTTCGTCCGACTTATCTGCGCTGTATGATTGCCCAGGTCCATCCTGTCGTTTATTTTAAAATTCAATTTATTTTGTACCTTTTCATTTTGTTTTTGTTTTCCTGTTTTTTTGGTCCAGGTGCATGCTGTTGTTTCATTCCCTTTTTCTTTTTCAATGCTGTTCTTTCCTCTGTCGTGTGATGAATGTGCTGTTCTCTCTCGAGAGAGAAGCATTCGATCTAAATGGCGACCATGAGAGAGAGAGAGAGAGAGAGAGAGAGAGAGAGAGAGAGAGAGAGAGAGATGCATTGGATTTGGTCGAGACTGCGTACGGGAAGGAAGTGGGGACAGAAGAGGGGGAGGTGAGCGGGAGGAGGAGGAGGAAATGGAGGACGAGGAGGAGGAGGAGGAGGAGGAGGAGGAGGACAGAAC